ATTGGAACATTAAGAAAATGTCTATTATGGGTATAATTTTTATATCTGTTTTTCAGGACACAAAGACAGGAAGCGAATTTATTTCCTCATTTCTTTAGCAATGAAAAAGGGTTTATATCTGTTCTTGCAAAAAGGACAAATTCAGTGTCTCTCAAAAAAAAAAAAAAAGCCCGCCCATTACTAGTACCAGCACCATAAGCTTCTCCAAAGTTGTGTGCTAATCAGCTTGGCCCAGGAAATAAGATGTTCTAGTAATATTCTGTGACCTCTTCTGTGCTGCTTAAAATCTACGTGTTTCTGGCGCTAGATATGCAGAAACATAAAAATCCCAGCAAGACTAATCTACTTGCATAAGATATATCTTGCGCAGCTCTATTCTTCATTCTGGTCCCCAAAGAGCAAAGGAGAACAAATGCTATACATCAATTTGGCAATAATTTTCATTTATTAGTTGTGTTTGACAGATAGGAATAATGTTTCCTTTTAACCTTCTCAGTTACTTATTGGGTTTGAAAACATATTGGGAAAAAGAGGTGACTACGAGCTTAGTGAGTCCTTTCTCTTTATACCCACAACTTCTAACGAAATCGGGGAAGTTTTAATGCAAACAGTGAGTCCTTTCACAAGAAATATGTTCATGTGGGACAACAAACAGAAAAACGAAACCTAGTGAAAATTATTTAAAAGCACCACCTGCTTATTCAAATACAGCTGGGGAGAGGTACGACACTATCCAAAATCCCTTTCATTATATTTCTTTCAAATGAGATGTTAAATAACAGACTAGTGGTCCTAAATGTTCTCCTCTTGAGGAGCAATTCTAAAGCTACATTTGAAATAATGCTTGTGGAACGCACTCCTCCCTCCAGAAGGAATGTAATTCTCAGATAGCAAAACCAAAATAGATAGAGGAGATGGGGAAAAAAAAACAGGTAAAAAGAAAGCGTACACATTCTTAGGAAGCAGAATGTTGAGCAACGGTCACAGCTTAAGTTGGATAAGTTACTAACTGCATAAGTTGAATAAATTGTTCAGATGTAAATTCATATTAGGCAGAAAGGTATGCAGGATCGATCAAATCAATAGATACACAACCTGTGCAATACAAGAGTGTTGCATTTATTTAGAAGTTATGTAGGGCTGGGATTGGATTCACTTAATTTGTCTGAAGAGCCTCACCACGGCCACGCAGTGCAGTGAGTCTCAATGCAGAGACAGCAGATTGAGGCACAGAAATGGGATTTAACCATCAAAATAAGGATCTCTCTAAGGAGACATTTCCAAAGTTGATGAGTTTGAGGTTGGCTTAGGGCTTGTCATTCTCCACTGCCTAATGAGGAGGACAAGTGGCGACATAAAGATGGAATGAAAAACGTAGCGACTATATTCCAAACACAAGAATCACAACAGCATCCTTTGTGTCCACAACACTATTTCAAAACCACCTTTGCTACTTCTTGAACATCAAAGTGCAGAAACATCCCAAAAGATGCATTTCCTTGCAACAACATTTGTCTTGGTGGCTGCAAAGATATTCCCCACGTACAAAAGGACAATTCACACCCAAGGACCCTCAGTGTGAGAATATTCTTCATCCTTAGCTATGCAGGCGAGTCCACAAAGCCTAAGCATTTCTATTCGGCGACACCATGACAGAAATTAGACACACACTGACCTCGACTCACTCCTGTAAAACTGCCAAAATTTCTCACTTACAGCACTGAATCAGATGTAGCCATGGCTGTGTGCAAACAGAGGTCAAAACCTCAAATCACCGGTCGACAGCATGAATGGTTGTCCCCTTCTTGCACTGTTAACTCAATTCACAATTCCTGCTATGCCACAACCAAAATCTATTCTGATAAAATTAGCTCAATCCAATTAAAGGACAAAGTATAGCCCTTAATTAAATGTTCTGATTATTCTGAAGCCCTTTTTTTTTTTTAATTTTGGTTCATCTTCAGTTTAGTCCTGTAAAAGCATACAAATTAGGAAGATTTAAAATGTTCTGGTTTTACTCATTTAATGCTTAAATTTGAGTAAATGAGAGTTTCCCAAAAGCATAAAAAGAGAGGTATAAAAAGAAAAATGTGGGATGTTTAGCTTATTTAGACCTCTCTTTTGTTCTTTTTTTTCCCCATATTTTATTTATAGCACTTCTAAGAAACAGGAATAAAAATAGTATGTGTTCTTTTAACCACATTAAGAACATCCAAATACTTTGATGAAGCAAAATTAATTAATTATTTTAAAAAGTTAACAAGTTATTTCCTTTTGTCTACCCATTATTCTCTCTAATGGTAAAGCTGAATATTTTCTGCCTGTGACAAACTCCAGTTTCAAGTTTGCATGCACCAGGGAAATTGTTTTGCTGCAGAACCAAGCTCAGTTAAACTAGCTTACTACAGACTCTGTTACGAAAGACTCATGGAAACAAACCCAAACACATCAGCCCATGAACGTTGATTAACTCTTGTCATTTCATCACAGATCATACAGATTTCTACTTCTTCCTTCTGCCACCAATTGCCATTTTTAGAAACGCTTGATAATCTCTCCCAGTTTTAGTGATACAGCAATGTAAATCAGCATTTCTCTCATCATGTCAAGCAACCTGCAGCACGAGAAACCTGGGCTTCCAGCTCACGAGCCCAGGATAGGAGAAGGCCACTGACCTCAATCTGCTGAATGGCCTCTTCCCGCTGGCGGATGGCCTCCAGGTCCTCTTCTGTGATTTCCGAGAGCAAGGCTTGATCCTGGTTCTGGTTCTGCCACACGCCATCTCCTCCATTAAAGATCTTCCCGTCATCAGGGAGGTCAGAGAAGGGGGCCCTAGGGCTCTGGTGAGATGGGAGAATGGAAAGAAAGCAAAGGAAGTGTAAACATTGTCCAGTTTTTCAGAGCCTTCTTAAGGGAAGAGACAATTTTCATGCTATAGGTTGCAGGAACAGTGGTGAAGAGGTGAAGAGTAAGTTGCATGAAAGGAAGTGTATCAAGTCTTGAAGGAAATGTTAGGACCTGAAGCCAGATCTCCTGAGCTACATTTGAGCCCCACCACCGCACTTCCATTTTCCAACAGTTCTGACAGAACACAACATTTATGTGCACCTGAAAAATAACACATTGACTTTGCTGAATTCCCTGCAAATTCTTCTGGAATTAGATACCTTCTCAGGCAGACGTAAAGCCTATGCATTTGTCTAGAAGACTTTATGATCCAACATTCAGCATAACTTTGATGAAGAGGAGGCTGAGGGGGGATCTCATCATGCTCTACAATTACTTGAAAGGACATTGTAGAGAGGTTGGTGCTGGTCTCTTCTCACAGGTAATTAGGGACAGAACCAGGGGGAATGGTTTCAAGTTGCAACAGGGCAAGTTTAGGCTGGACTTTAGGAAAAAATTCTTCAACGAAAGAGTGGTCAGACACTGGAACAGACTGCCTAGGGAGGTGGTTGAGTTGCCATCCCTGGATGTGTTCAAGTGTGGTTTAGATGTGGTGTTGGGTGATATGGTTTAGGGGTGAATGTGTAGTGTAGGGTTAATGGTTGGACTCGATGATCCCAAGGGTCTTTTCCAACCTGAATTGTTCTATGATTCTATGATAACAACAGACCCTATCTCCTCTATTTAGGATATAAACTAAATACAGCTAAAACAGGGGAAAATCGTGACAGTAATGTTACTGCATAAACATCAGCTTGAGCAAACTGTGTTTGCTCTATAGAGCTGACTTGATTTTGCTGGCACATCAGATACTATTTTCTGGGTAGCTCAGTGTCCATACTCCCTTTGGGAGCTGTTCTTCTGTTCAGATCCAGATTTAAAGAGCTTTTTCATGATTCAGATTTTAAGAGCTTATTCATGATCTAGCTGCATATGCACTGCAGGTAAGGACAAACTTTTAACAAGGTCTTCTCCTTCCAGCCTTTAGTTTCTGTGCCTATGGAGACCATAAGATCATAGAATGGTTTGAGGTGGAAGAGACCTTTAAAGGTCATCTAGTCCTTCCCCCTGCAGTGATCAGGGATATCTTCAGCTAGATCAGCTTTCCCAGAGCCCTGTCCAACCTGACCTTGAAGGCTTCCAGGAATGGTGCTTCTACCACCGCTCAGGGCAATCTGTGTCAGCATTTCACCACAGATGTTAGGCTCAGTCTAGGCCAGCGACAAATCATGAACTGACAAAAGGTTCATTTGGAGAATCAGGAGGCTGAGTTCAAGTTATACACTAACAGGCATTGCTGAAGACTCCAATCCTACAACTGCATGAGTTTTTAACTTCAAACAAGGCACATGGTCCTTTCAACCAGCCTTGAGTTGAGCTTTGACTCCCAATAAACAGTTACAATAAAAAAAAGCAATCCAAGTGCTTCCAATGCTCTGAAGTTGAAGGAAGAGACGGCAGTCCCTACAGCACATTTGTGACCTGAATGCCCCTGAGGTCTCAGAAAACTACAGGAGAAAACAAGTATAAGAATTCAGGAGGATGTTCAGGTCTCTGAATCTGGGCTTATTTGAAACACAAACACTGGGGCTTTTCAATGAGTTGTGCCTGAGAAATAAAAGTCTTTGCTGTCTTCCTGTGGCTAAGGTTTCAAAAATACTAAATAACCTGAACAGGAAGCAAGGCCATTGGGCTGGAAGGGCACAGAAGGACTGGAGAACTGGAAGGACTGGGAAGTAATATTGAATTCTTGCACATTTTGACACTCTAGCTGTCTAGAATATAAAGAATATTAGGCATCTGGGAACATTCATGTAACTCTTTAACTCTTCTTTATTACTTTGAAAAGTATGATTTCTGCATTTAGAAACTAATGAAATTTTGTAGTTGCCTAAACCTAGACTTTGCCTTACAAAATTAATTAATTAGTATGATCACCATCATCTAGGAGCAGACAAGGAAAATTACACAATGTGATGAAGGAAGTGGAGTGATGGAAGAATTAGAAGCATACAGAAAAATCAGAAACAAACACTCACATATCTTTCAAAAATACAAACAGAAGATTAAAACTTTTGACATTAATGTCTCACTTTGTTTCACCTGCTGCTTGCCTGGGATCAGTCATCTCCAGAGAAAGGGTATTTTAGGGGAAGAAAATCATCATTTAAATTAGGTTAAAAATTCATTTACACTTTAGAAGACACATTTTAATAGGATTAAGATACTCTGGGGGTGTTTTATTGACTAATTATTATGTGCCTTGGACACCAACTTATCTAGTAGAGTGTTTCAGTGCCAAAAAGCATATATTTATGGACTCAAGAAAAAAACCCTTGGGATATTCTAATGTTTCACTCATAGTGACAGAGGTGTGCTCTCATCTTCACCAGTGGGTTAACTGGGACATGCAGAAGCAGTTATACCACACAATGCCAAGTAGGCTGGAAGAACCCAAGTGTCTGCCCTCTGAAGATGCAGGAAAAAAATGATCTAATGAAATTCTTGTGCTATGGTAACAAATGGACACTATCATGGACCTAAATGAACAGGAATAGACACCAAAAGCCACATTTTCCTATGCAGATATGCATTTCAGTGGAAAAAAACAAATTAACAAGTGCTCACATTTCCTATTCTGATGTGGGAGCAGCATATTAAGAAGAGAGTCGGAAAAAAACCAGCTCTTCTAACTATATTAGTCCGTGTAGTAGAACAGCTGGATCACAAATATGCTTGAGCCTGGCCTGTGTCAACTCTATTAGTCATCCCCACTTGTTGGTCCTGGTATCTGTAAATAATCCAGATAGTGCAACACAAGTGATGCTGCTCAGTCATCTCTTAGAAAAGCCGGCTATTCATGTGTTTAAATAGATAATGGTCTAGACACAGATGTTTTTCTCTAAACAAAGCGGTGGCTTAAGTTAATTTCAGAGCTGCTGAAGGCAATTACATGAGTTTGTATCCTTTACATCTTTCAAGAACACCCAAACAAGGCTGCTGAATGAGTGAGTAAATCAGGAAACAATGGGAGGCAGCGAGCGGCTGAGATTTCCTTCCAGACATAAAACCAGCTCGACAGTAACATTAAATACAGCACCACGACCTGCTACTGGGGTATGTGTGGTGGCTGGCTGTGCTAATGAATTAAAAGTGATTTCATGTTTGTTGATGGTACAGAGCCCCTCATTCCTGTGAGGAAGTGAAAAAATCCTAGGTTTGAAAGTGTGAAGAAACCTAATGACTTTTTAATACCTCTGATGGAAAACTGCATATAGTTTGGTTTGTCAGCAGTCTTTACTCCCTTTTGAGTTGTGCTCATTGCCATGTCAGACATAATATTTCACTTATAGCAAGAAAAGATAAGATGGAGAGCACTCACTCAGTCTCCACAGATAAAGTTCCTTTGACAACAGACTGGAAGGGGCCATAACTCCCTATACCGGCGTTTCTGCATTAAATTTGATTTAGTGCCAAATTTTATGCCCTGTGAATCTCTGTGTAATTTTCTGTTGGATTTCCTTTCATAAATTGTTAATTGGATGTGTTTGAAGTTGTTCTTTTGTTGAAATTTGCCCGTGGCAGATTTTTGTCAAGATATATCTATAAACCAAACTCTGCCTGTAAAAAAAATGGTAGGAGAGAAAAAGTTGAGTATATCTGATATGCTCAGTCTTTCTTCTAAAATTAAATTCTTAGGACTGAGGGTCATACTACGCTGTTATTCATCATATCTGAAAAATTATACCCAGGCACAACATTTTTTCTGTTGGATAAAATCTTTCCACTAGGATAAAATCTTTGCTGCTTACAACTACATTTTTTATCAGATTTATTCTACCAATGGGGAGATGTTATAAGCAGCTGCTGATAGAAAAAAGGGGAAAAAAAAAGGTTTAAAAAATGTTTTATCAGGATGGTGACAATTTTTGCTAGTGTCTGTGCTTTACCAGCAGTAAAATCTTTGCATCAGCAGTTGCATGTCTGAGACCCCTCCAAAGACGACCCCCTCCCAGCCCTGTCCCTGCCTCATTCCACATTTCTATATTAGAAGGGACAGAAGAGAAGCATTAGCAGGCACTTCTCCTTGTACATAGTAATATCACAAGTTTTGCAACCTATGTCACATAAAATCATCAAGCAAGGGACTGAAATGACCTCTCTCCTAGTTCACATATCGTCTTTATTCCACCCAAAAGCAGAAATTGAATGTGAACTCCACCTAATATAACATCAACCAGCCTTCACGGTTCATCTTCATTGCTCATTACAGATGCTCTAAGACTGGCCTCTCACAGTCTCTCCAAAAACACCCGTTCAAGTTGCCGTAAAGATTTAAGATTTGTTGGAGCTCACCAGATGAATGACACGCTACAGGCGTAGGAGGATGAAGGGCTGAGGAAGACTTTCACACACAGTTGTGCCAGCAATTTTGGTGTGAACACAACTGGAAAGGAGATTTGGTTGAACTCACTGCCTGAAATGAGACAACCTCATGAAGTTCAACAAGACCAAGTGCAAACTCCTTCCATCTGGGTTGGGGCAATCCCAAGCACCAATACAGGCTGGGCAGTGACTGGCTTGAGAGTAGCCCTGAAGAAAAGGACTTAGGTGTACCGGTGGATGAGAAGCTCAGCATGAGCCGTCAGTGGCACTTGAAAGCCAATCGTGTCCTGGGCTGCATCAAGAGGTGCGTGGCCAGCAGGTCGAGGGAGGTGATTCTCCCCCTCTACTCCACTCTGGAGAGACCTCACCTGGAGTGCTGCGTCCAGTTCTGGAGCCACAGCACAAGAAAGATCTGGATGTGCTGAAGCACAGAGAAGGGCCACAAGGATGCTCAGATGGCTGGAGCACCTCTGCTATGAAGACAGACTGAGAGAGATGGGGCTGTTCA